TTGGAAACATTCTTCAGGTTAGCTATGCATACAGTTCGGCTACTGTGTTCTAAAATGTGAAATGCACTTTGAATTCCTGACAATCCTCATTTTGTGAATAACCCCTACTGGGTGCCGCTCCATTGGAATGTGCAACATCTGGAGTTGCGTCACATTATGCATAGTTGGAGAGCCTACTTTCAAACCTGCTAACCGCAAGCAAGGGTGATTATGTGCAGTTTGGCACCTAACATGTTTCAATTAATGATACAATAATACATTTGAACAGTTCATTTGAAGTAATTTACCAGCCTTCTTAACTGTCCAGAGTTCAGGAGGATCATCCTGATTTCGAGATTTTGTCCCACCACCCCCCAGGTTGTTGTCCTGTGTTCTCAATCACTGTAGAGTGAGCACACCATTAGATGCTCTTGTTCTGTATTGAGTGAAATCAGAACATTAATCCTGTTCTGCAAGTGTTATTAACTAAATTCCAAATGGTAGCAAAATAAATGTGTATGGAACAATAGAGGCTAAAACAGCCGCTCAATAAAAAGTATAACTCTTTCATAGTCACTTACCTATTTTAACCTCCATTTTTCAGTTTGGATTTAATTCCCTAAAATTTGGAGTTTTAGGAAAAACAGAATAGGTCTTCTCATAAATTCTGATTTGTTTTGATATATGTTCTGAGAAATGTTAAAGTTTAATATTTTCTTTATAGTTGCATAAGGTCCTTTTTTTTAAATTTATTTATTTATTTAAATATTTTATTAAGGGTTTCAAAGTTGCAATAAAAAATATTAATTTGTATTTTTATGTATATATTTTTAGGGCCTGCAAGTTGGAGATGAGATTGTTGCATTTGGATCAGTAAATGCAAGTAATTTCCAGACATTACAGAACATTGCCAGTGTTGTGCAACACAGTGAGGGGGTAAGTATGAGAGCGAGATAATGTTATGACTTTGACTCCTGTTGATAGTAATTAATATGTTTGGTCTTATGGCATAGAGATAGGGCTAAAGAGACAGTAATACGTACATGGGTTCGAAAATAAAACGATCCCTATACTACAGGGATTTGCACACAGTAGATCTTCAGATGATGTAGCATTGCAACTTCCATACTGCTTAGCCATTATAAAGGTTAGAAAAGTATCCTGGAGGTTGTAGTTCTAGAACACTGGGAATCTCTACCTTTGTCCAGCTCTGGTATATTACATTTAGAATTGCTGAACAGCTAATGAAATGCCAAATGTTACCGTCTCCTGGTACAGAACTACAGCATGTTGTTTTTTACTTTTATTAATGCCAGACTTATGAAAATGTCCAATGTGTGATTAAAAGAAACAACATAATATCAATTGTGCATACACGTATAAACATAACTATTGTATTGCGTATTGAAAATTTGGATTAGTTTACAGTACATGAAATTTGGCATTGTGATGGAATGCTGCCTTATCTGCAGATCAGAGATTTCATAAAAAATATTGTCCTTTTTAAGGTGAACCAGGCCAAAATGGTTTTCAAAAATATCAGCCATACCAAATCCTTTTTTTTTTTTTTTGCATAGAAGATTTATCTACTTTGTGTATCTGTGCATGACATGAATAACTTTTCCTAAATTGATAAATATTTAATATTATACGTTACAGAAGCCATTAAGTATCACAGTTGTCCGAGATAACAAGTCAGTCAATATAAGTCTCACGCCACAGCGATGGAGTGGAAAAGGACTTCTGGGGTAGGTTTATCTACTGCATTTAAGCAATGTTTATGTCAAATGTTTATAGAAATCCTGAGCAAAGAGAATCATTTGAAGTGTTCTCACCCATAATTCCATTGCAAATTGCACATTGGTATACTAATATAGACCTTGATTAAATATTTTTAGATAAACTTTTTTATATGAGTAATAATTTGAAAAATATTTGTATATATTTTTTTATACATATGTTGATATTTTCTGTGGTATATAATATATTATTTTTTGATAATTTCTTAATTTAAAAGTTTATCCAAATAGCAGTTACCGGTTATCAGTTAAAAATCAGGAGAGGGTCCTTTGGTAAATGAGCATTGAGGTCAAAAAACTGGATAGCAAGCTTGTATATAAGGCTGGCAGCATCAAAGATAACACCATGACCACTTTTGCTTTTTGAAGTGGTCATGATGGTAGAAATCTGAATGTGCAGCATTTCTGCTTCAAACGTTACACATCCAGAGATATTTGCACTTGTGTGCCAGGGGCTAGTTACACCACCGACACACGTGACTTGGGCAGTCTGGAACTCCAGACTGCCAAACATCAATTCTGAGCAAAAATTAAATCTGTCATCAGTGTGTACTGCGCACTGGCAAAATGTTACCCTTGCAGGCAGTGACAACAGTGGGAGAATCTTGAGTCTCCCCTCCCTTCATGGACTCCCTCTCAGCCTCCTGGTTTTGAGAGCTCAGTCCTCTATTGTGTTTTTTTTTGGGGGGGGGGTTTCAAACAAATTCCCTCCTTCTTTGTCATCTCTCCCCACACTGGCTCAGAGTGCACATGAGCTCTGAGAGTTGACAACTGACCTCTGAGAAACATATGATTGGACCACGGAGTGACATGGTTTGAGTCAAGATGGGGCATGGAAATGAGAGCTCCTGGCACTGGATTCAGGGTAATGTGGTGGGTTCTTTTTTTTTTTTTTTTTTTTACAATTATTTTGCATTTACAATATTTTTTTTGCTTACGTTTTATTGTTTGTGCTCTTCCCAACAGTTTTGTTGATTTTCTGGCATATTTCGAAAGAGGTCTTCCTTTTTCTCTAAGGATAACAAACACTTGAAATTGCAAAGTGCACCAGTCAGCATCTCCTTGTAGAGGTGCATAGAATCAGTGAATCTCTGTGGGGGTTGTTCTGCATCTCTATGCATAGTGTGGAGAAGCTTGAAAGTAGGTCCTGCAAAGGTTTCAGGACCTTATCCAGGAAGTCCCTTTAGTGGCTGTCAGTGACACTTGAAAAAAGATGCTATGTAGAAAGTTTGATTTTACCTCCTATAATAGCATGGTAATTCTCTAACATGTGCATTTCTTTTTATCTTTATAGGTGCAATATTATTCCATTAAAAAGATGAAATGAATGCCAAAAACAAAATTTTTCATCTGTTCCATGTCTTCATTATTACTTTATTTCCAGGTTTAAGGTTACAGTGATGGTGAACATTATATAGCTTTGAAGCTTCAAGCTGCTGCAGTGCATTGTGCTTTTGGAATCTAGTTTATAGCATAATATTGGTTAGTTTGGATGTGTTCTTTATTTGGTATGAATTAAAACATTCTCTCTCTGTCATTATTGTTTTATTTACACTTAGAGGGGAAAAAAGTGGGGAGGGTGAGACTTCACTTGTGTACAAAGTCATATTAATGAAACCCTGCTTAAAACAAAAGAAAAATTCTAGTATTCCGGCAAGTATGGCTGTGTTTTAATACTGGGTAGATTAACGTGTGTATTTATGCTGTAAGCAGAAGATGCCATTACTTTTTTACAGTTTTATTTCATTCTGTTTTGTTTTTAATGCTTTTTTTTTGTCAACGAGTTCTTATCAAGGACTTATATACTATAATGTCATGAACAAAGAGATACAAGGTTAGATATGATCATATGACCATCCATGTGAAGTGTACATTGGAAAAAAGAATCAAATGCTCACAAGCAGCGGCTGGAGCTAAATAGACTACATAAGTCGAAGGGAGGGGAGGAATAGTAATGAAGGAGAGAGGATTGAGAACAAGAGGGGGTGCGGGGGCAGGAAGATGGCACAATTTGAAGGGGACAACCCGAATGCTTAAGGGTGTTTGTTTATCTCTGATGATTCATCCTGGACTTAAAGTCTTAAAGCTAGGGAAGCCAAATAACATTTACATATATTGGTCCTGTCATATAGAGAAGCCATTAAGGCTTCTATTTGCCTTATCTCCTCAACCTTAGAAATCCACAGATTATAGGAAAACAAAGTTGTTTCCCTGGCACTATGGCTCCTTACAGTTCTCCCCTGACTACAAAAATCCCTGCTTTCACTTACTTGTGTCCAGCACCGATGTACCTTGGCACTAGCTCAGAGTCCGCTTCCTCTCCTCTACTGCTAACATTAGCTGGCGGGGGAGGCCTAATGCATGGCAATGGCCGTGCTCACATTAGTACTTCTCCATAGGAAAGCATTATACAGTGCTTTCCTATGGGGTTTCGGGTGATGCTGGATATCCTCATGCATAACGTGAGGATGTCCGGCGACCAAAAATTGCCTAATGACCTGGAAGTCCCTCTAAAAATTGTAATGATTACCTTTGCAGGGTTAAGGGACTTGGGAATATGAACCCAGGCCACTTCAATGAGCTGAAGTGGTCTGGGAGCCTATATTGTCCCTATAAGTGTCACTGCCTCCAGAAGACATGGATCAAGATATTCACAGCATTGGCTAGCTTCTTGGATATATACTTTCAGGGCTGGAACTAGGTGTGAGTGAAATCCATCATTACTTTTTATTTAATGAAATGGGAAATGTACCTGTTGTTGTTTTCATATTTTTTAATACACTGATGAGCCACAACCATTAACCCCTTCAGACCAGAGGGCGTATAATTACGCCCTATTTTAGGCGGCTATAACGCCGCCGGGCGTAATAGTACGCCCTCCATTTTTGTTATTTTTACTTACCCGGTCGCCGGCAATCCCACGCTGGCGGTCGCGGTTGGGGGGACTCCAAGGGAGCCCCCCGCGGCACATCCAGCCTCCTGCAGCCCCCCCGGCCATGTGAGAGTGAGGTCCTTGCGAGGACCTCACAATCACATGGCCGGGTTAGCTGGCTGCTGTATTGCCAGCAGGGGGACTGACCTAATGACAGGTAGTCCCCCTGCTGGCTGGAAATCAAATTAAATTAAAGTTAAAATAAATGTAAAAAAATAAATTGTATACTTAGATCATATATAAATTATATATATTATATATTATATATATTATATATAATATATGATCTAAGTGTGTGTGTGTATGTGTGTATATATATATATATATATATATATATATATACACACACACACACACACACACACTCATACACTGTCTAGGTGTATTTTACTATTAAAATATATATATATATTAATATCAAATGACACGTAGACTGATACTGATTAAATATATAATTATTGTTATATATTTATATATAATATAAAAATAACAAGTAAAATTAAAAACATAATTAAAAAATATATAAATGTATGTTATTTCGTTCTAACTGTATTGTGATATTAATATATTTATATCAAAATACACGTAGAATGAAATAATATATATATCTATATACATAAATATATACGTATATATCACTATATACCTATAAATAAAAATATTTTTTAAAAATTATATATATACATATATACACATACGTGTGTGTGTGTGTGTGTATGTATGTATATATATATATATATGCATATATTAATTCTACATAAATATTTATGTAATATTTTTACATAATTAGGTATCTTAATTAATTACAATTAGCGGGACCTGCCTGACAACCCATGCCGAAAGGAAAGGGAATTTAATTTGCTAGCACTATATTTAACCCTATAACTTTCCAAGACGCCATAAAACCTGTACTATGATGGCATACCATTTGCAATAGTAGACAACCCAAGGTATTGCAAACGGGGTATGTCCAGTCTTTTTTAGTAGCCACTTAGTCACAAACACTGGCCAAAATTGGCGTTTTTTGCATTTTTCACACACAAACAAATACTATAAAGTTCCAAAGGCAACGTAACCAATCTGGCGAATTTCAATTTCAAATGTAACGTGCTATATTTGACCCTGTAACTTCCCAAAACGCCATAGAACCTGTAAATAGGGGGTATTGAGTGACTTTGACAAGGGTCAAATAGTTATGGTTAGAGCATCTCCAAAATGGCAAGGATTATGTATTGCTCCTGGTATGCAGTGGTTAGTACCTACCAAAAGTGGTGCAAGGAAAAGCAACCAGACAACTTTAGTCAGTGTCTTGGGCCCTAAAGGCTCAATGATGGACATTGGGAGCAGAAGACTATCCTGTCTGGTCCAATCACACAGAAGAGCTACAGTAGCTCAAATTGGTGAAAAAGTTAATGCTGGTCATGATAAAAAGATGTCAGAACACACTGTGCATCCCAGTTTGCTCTGTATGGGGCTGCTTAGCCACAGAACAGTCAGAGTGCCCATGATGATCCCTGTCCACTGACAAAAGCACCTTCAATGAGGATGTGTGTTGGAAATGTACCAAGGACCATGGAAGCAGGCTGTCTGGTCTAATGAATCAGTTTTTTGTTTTAGATCATATGGATGTTATTTTGACATGTACCACCTAGCTATAGATTGTTGCAGACCACGTACACCCCTTCATGGCAGTATTTTTCCCGATGGTAGTTGCCTCTATTAGCAGCTTAATGCACCCTGTCACACTGCACAAATTGTTCAGGAATAATTTGAGGAACAAAAAGGTTGAAGGTGTTGCCTTGGCCTCCAAATTCCCCAGATCTCAATCCGTTTGAGCATCTGTAGGATGTGCAGGAACAAAAAATGTGATTCGTGGAGGCCCCCAACTTGCAGGACTTTAATGATCTGCTGCTAATGTCTTCATGGATACCACAGGACACGTTTAGAGGTCTTGTGGAGTCCATGCCTCGACACATCTGAGCTGTTTGGCAGCACGAGGGGGACCTACACATCAAATGGTCATTTGCAGTGCTTACATTAAAAATAGATACAATATAGTAAAATAGAATGGTGACAGTGGATCCCATAATAACTGATTACAATATTTGTAAAAAATTTTAAGGTAACGTAATGTGAATATTTATTAAAATATTGAGTGAGTGTGTCTTATGTAGGTGTAGGTGGCTGTAAGTGTTGTAGGTGTGTGTTGTGGCTTTCTGTGTATGAGGCTGGCTGTGTGTAATATGTGTATAGCTGTGAGTGATGTTTGTTGCTGCGTGTGGGTAGCTGTGAGTGGTATGTGTAGTTGTGTGAGTAATTATAAATGATAAGTTTGGGCCTCTGTAAGTGATGTGTGTGGCTGTATATGAGTAGTTGTCAGGGCTGACCTGGGAGATGAAATGGACATAATCATTGTATGGCACAGTTGCCTACTTTTACATTTTACAAATGCATTTTTTATATTAACAATAAAAATAAGAAGACCTCGCTAACCCACACAAGTATGCACATATAGATACTGCAATCATAAGCGTGCGCAGCCTGTTGCATTAGGGTGTGCACCCTAAAGCACAAACACACACGCCGCGTGTATATGTATTTTTATATACACATACACACACATACATATATATATATACATACATACACACACATACATATAGAAATACAATATACATGGGTGTGTGATTGCGAGGGGTATAGTGTGTGTAATTGTGAGGAATGCAGTGTGTGTTGGGTACAGTGTGTATGATTGTGAGGGGTACAGTGTGTGTGTGATTGTGAGGGGTGCACTGTATGGGCGACAGGGGTTAGGGAGGTGGAGGGGCAGCGACGGGGTAGAGGAGTGGAGGGGCAATGACAGGGGTTAGGGGGCTAGTGACGGGTTAGGGGGGTAGAGGGGCAGTGACAGGGGTTAGGGGGAGGTAGAGGGTAGCGGGACGGGTTAGGGGGTAGAGGGGCAAGACGGTTAGGGGGTAGAGGGGGGCAGTGACAGGGGTTAGGTGGGGTAGAGGGGTAGTGACAGGGGCTGAGGTGTAGAGGGATAGTGACAGGGTTTAGGGGCAGTGACAGGGGTTAGGGGTTGAGGGGTGACAGGGGTGGGGGGAGTGGAGGGGCAGTGACGGGTTAGGGGGTAGAGACAGGGGTTAGTGGGTAGTTACAGAGGTTGGGGGGGTAGAGGGCAGAGACAGGGGGTGGGGAGTGGAGGGCAGTGAAAGGTAGAGGGGCAGTGGCAGGTAGGGTGGAGGGGCAGGAGTGACAGGGGTAGAGGGGGTTTATAATTACCTTCCCTGGTGGTCCAGGGCAATGTTTCTTCAGTCTGCAAAGCCGACGGGATGGAGTACATAATTTTGCTATTTTGAGATGCTCACCACATTTACAGATACAAGTAGACTGGGCTACTAGCCAGATCTGAAAACTACCTTGAACCACTCTTCAAAACACATACAGTCAGGTACATAAATATTGGGACATCAACACAATTTAATCTTTTGTCTCTATACACCAACACAATGGGTTTGATATGAAACAAAACAAGATGTGCTTTAACTGCAGACTTTCAGCTCTAATTTGAGGGTATTTACATCCAAATCAGGTGAACGTGTGTAGGAATTGGCAACAGTTTGTATATGTGCTCCCACTTTTAAGGGACCAAAGGTACTGGGACAGATTAACAGTCATAAATCAAACTTTCAATTCTTTAATACATGGTTGCAAAATCCTTTGCAGTCAATTACAGCCTGAAGTCTCGAACACATCCCTGGTGATGCTCTGCCAGTCAGGGCTACCACCAGAAATTTCCAGGCCCCTGACACAGCCCACCATCTACCCCTGGGGCCACCCCCAAGTCAATCCACATGACCTGCCCTCAAGTCTGCCCATTACGACATGCCCCACCCTGTAGTGGACAGAGTGTGTGTGTATGGATGTATTTTGTGTATAGTGGATGCATTGTGTGTATAGTGAATGCAGTGTGTGTTTGTGTACTGGATGTAGTATGTGAATAGTGAATGTAGTTTATGCGGTTTGTGTAGTGGATGCAGTGTGTGTGTGTATAGTTAATGCAGAGTGTGGTGTTTGTGTAGTGGATGTAGTGTGTGTATAGTGAATACAGTGTGTCTGTGTAGTGGATATAGTGTTTGTGTGTATAGTAAATGCAGAGTGTGTGTGTTTGTGTAGTGGATATAGTGTTTGTGCGTATAGGGAATACAGTGTGTCTGTAGTGGATATAGTGTTTGTGTGTATAGTAAATGCAGTGTGTGTGTTTGTGTAGTGGGAAGTAGTGTGTATATAGTGACTGCAAAGTGTATGTGTAGGATGTAGTGTGTGTATAGTGAATGCAGAGTGTGTGTGTTTGTGTAGTGGGATGATGTGTGTAGTGGATGCAGTTTTATGTGGTTTGCTATGGTGTGTTTATGTGGTAGTGGATGATGTGTATGGTGCAGTGGATGATGTGTATGGCTTTCGTGGGTAGTGGATGATGCAGTATGTTTATGTGCAGTGGATGCAGTGCGGTGTGTGTGGTGGATGATGTGTGTGTAAAAGTGTGTGCAGTGGATGATGTGTATGGTTGTGTAGAGGATGATGTGTGTGGTTGTGTAGTGGATGATGTGTGTGGTTGTGTTGTGGATGATGTGTATGGTTGTGTAGTGGATGATGTGTGTGGATGATGTGTATGGTTGTGTAGTGGATGATGTGTATGGTTGTGTAGAGGATGATGTGTGTGGTTGTGTAGTGGATGATGTGTATGGTTGTGTTGAGGATGATGTGTATGGTTGTGTAGTGGATGATGTGTGTGGTTGTGTAGTGGATGCAGTTTGTGTGTTTATGTGGTGGATGATGTGTATGGTTGTGTAGTGGATGATGTGTGTGGTTGTGTAGTGGATGATGTGTATGGTTGTGTAGTTGATGATCTGTATGGTTGTGTAGAGGATGATGTGTGTGGTTGTGTAGTGGATGCACTTTATCTGTTTGATGATGTGTATGTGTGTGGTGGATGTGTGACAAATGCTGCTGGGAGGCATTTTTTTTTATGAAGAATTTATATAATTAAAAAAAAAAAAAAAGATATATTCCCCCCTCCCTGCCTCTTACCTGTAGTCAGGGAGGGGGGATACTGGATTCCTTGGTGGTCCGGTGGCTCCGCGTGTTGGGCCAGCAGGGAGGAGCCCAGCAGACTCCCTCCATGTTCTACCTCCTGCAGCCAGGACGCGAGCCCAGCATGCATTGCGTGCCGCAGAGCGTTGTCATGACAACCTGCGGCAACGCTTTACTGCTGTGGCTCGCGAGAGTGCTGGAGGGGAAGGTAAGTATATCCTGGCCCGCAGAGGCATATATACATAGCGGTCATCGGTATATATAT